AAAAAGAGCTCTAACGCAGAAAAGAGATCAACAGGTGGGCAGGCTTCCACCCCATGATGTCAATCCCCAACATCCGGAGCAATTTTGGCCGGCGGCGATGTTAGGAACGGCTAACGGAAGCAAGAAGATCGCTATGGAAGCTGGGAGCTTGACTTCGCCCAGAGTGGAAGATCCCGCCCACCTGCTGATTCCCTTCCTGTGCAGCCCTTTTTCGCCGTCTTTGCGCTTTACAATGAAAAGGTCGGATTCAGCATAGCGAATAAGCTCAGGCAAGCAAAAATCTCAAAATCGACTATTTGCGCGGACACTGTCTTCAAAGAATTCTCTGAGATAGCATCAAAAAAAACCTGCACACATAGTGCACGAATCTAAGCATAGAAAGGACATCGCAATAATCGTAGATCAAAGCAGCAAACCAAGATCTTGGTTGCATGTAATTCTGACCTCTCTCGGAAATAACAATTGGATTCGGTCGAGCAGATCCATCCAATCCCAAACCATTGGCGATTTCTTCGCATATGCGATTCCACTCCTTCTCCGTTAATGCCACAAGATGCACACTGCCAAGATCGCAAGAAAGCCCGACATTCGGCAACCCGTGAGTACACATAACGCATTCTTGACATATCGTCGGCAACATGATTGATAAACTGCGAGCTCTGGATAATTCACAATCGATCAAAACAGATCTACGCGGATTAACAAGAAAAGCTCACTTGATTGTTGCTGTAAGCTTGCTCAAAAACTGGCTACAGATTCCCCGTGAGTAGATAGTGCCATATTCTTCCTCAGTTGGACGTCGTCGATCGATCTCTCTAAGTAGCTCACCGATGCGATTTCGAAGATCTCTCAGAGATTCCTTCAACTCCTGCTTTCCACACTGTTGTTCCTAAGGTCAAATAAGGATGAATGCGTAAAAGTAAACTTGAACTTAAATATAAGAGCTCACATGGAATTCTCTCTCACACTCCTGGCATATGGGCTCATCGCATCGCACTACGAATGTAGTAGCTGGATCAAAATATGAAGAAAGCTGTTTCCATTCGGCTGGACTGACCGCTTGGCGGAACTCGTCGAGATTGATGCCACCTAACAGGATTTCATAAGCTCTGGACTACATGTATGAGTAAAAAGAACGCAATACCGTGCTCGCAGCGAAGTTCTGAATTAAACTCGACTGCGCCAGATTCGTGCGTGCTCGATCGGCTGGCGGATGAAGATGGCCTTTCAGGTGGAGAAGAAGAGGAAGGATGTTCGGCTGATGAAGATAATGGGACTTCTGGCGGCGAACTTGAGTCACTAGTAAATAGAGAATACACTCTAGATTACCAAAAAGAGGCAGGCATTACCTTTTTCCTTCGCTTCCTTCGTAAATTACTTTGTTTTGCACTTCTGGATTCACAAATCCATTCTTCAATCGCCGTCCTGCATGTGGTTCGGCACGACCAGCAGTAGCAGACTCCATACCATCATGGTTGTTCACAAAGTCTGTCTCGAGAGAGTCCAACTCCATAGCTGGAGTTTCAGACCTTTCTGAACTGACAGACGACGAGTTTGCGTCGTCGATCTCCACCGCATTCTTTTCTTCCTCTGCCGTGTCTTTTGTAGACTGCAATTTGAATATTGGTACTGACAGATACGAGACTAAAAAAAATGTGTTACCATTGTCGTGAAACCATTTTCTTCAGCAATAGACATATCCCGAGTTGCTGTTTCCAGTTTGATCTTCTTTTCATCCGAAACGTACTCCAAATCACTTTCTTCTTTCTAAAAATTGTAGAGCTTGCAACGCACAGCATGATACTTCCTACTGACCAGAACAGCAGTTTCTTCCTCAGAGATGTCTTCTTTAATATCCATAGAGTAAGAAAACTCGTTTGTGCTTTGAGCAGAGTCATCTTTTGAAACTTTCGAAGGTGTATGACTTCCTTCGCTGAAAGCGGGTGAATCATCTCCATATTTTACAAGACGTTTCCGTCGGGCCCCTCTGCTTCGCCGCGGAGAGCTTGCATTCCCCGAGTACTTCGTGACAGA